GGTCGCTAGTAGCAGGAATGGTGCTTGCGCTGTAGTCTAAAACTTGGACTCATAGTGGCCGTGCTTTGGCCCTCTTCCGGCTGCAAGAAGAAGGCGTCGGTTGGGATGAAGTGGTGCATTATAGAGCCGTACGAGCTTCCAGGTACATGACTACCAGTTTCCTGCATGAAGCCCGGTCGTTTTTTCGGTAAATGCTCGTTTTTTGAAAAAAAATGAAAAATGCAAACTTCCAGTTCACTAAAGAGTGGAAGTATTGCTCGAGCGGTCGTCTGTCAAAAAATTTAGGTATGCAAATGAATTGAATGCTCTTTTACATATTTGGATGAAGGCGGTTGTTCGCTGCAAAACGTACTTGTTTTTAATTTTTCGGGAAAGTTGAGTATTTCTCAAGCCCATCTGCAGAGAATTTCACCTCCAAGGAGAATTAAGACCACACTTGAAAGTAAAATATCCCAGCGAATTTTCAGCCTCGCAGCTTATCCGGCAAACAAAATATCCACTTACAAATATCTTTGAGGCGCCCTAAGTCGTGGCGAAAGTGCAAATCGGTACTTATTTTAGGTACACCATTTCACATACGAGAGACAAAAATGCTGACAAAATTTCATCCACTAGTTTCCGGCAAGTTTATGAATTAGCATAGCACCAAACTTTGACGGGACCGTACGTACTGCACAAGCTCGCGCGGCAGCTGAATTTGAAATACTTAGCTCGTACATACAGAGAGAATACCCCTGCAAAGTTTCAGCTTCCTACGTTGCCTGGTTCGCGAAATCGTTTCTCGCCAAAGAAATTTGTATATTTTTTTGGGGAGTCCATATGCGGGGCCCAGGCGCGTGTGGAGGAAGGTCTTAAAACGGGAGGGTGACACAGAGTTTAGGAACGCACACCCAAAACTTCAGCCTCCCAGCTTTCCTGGTTGCTGAGATGAAAGTGGGTGACAAAATGCACTCGATTCCAAACGCACACATACAGGTGAGCAGCGCTATAGCTTAAATCAAAGAATTGGAGCCTGTAAAGAAAAGCAAAAGATGCAAAAGCAAACAAAAACTGAGCTAATACAAATAGGAACTATTTCACAAAAACTCGTCTTCAGTGAGTATTTATGAAGCTTATGTTTAGGTAAAGCTGAGGGCAAATAAGTTCGATAGGATTTATACA